TTGCCGCTGATAGGTTTCGAACTTGTAAAACCTCCAGGCCACCACGACATTTATCACTGGGTTTATTATCATCATAATATTAGACATAAAAAGTTTAATGCAGAAGATAGGGCTGGCTTTCCCAAGGATTCCTAGATTAGCCGGCAAATATTAGTTTCGCATTTTTGAAAATTCTGAATACCATAAGATCTGTATGCCTGGAGCGGAGGTATATTATTGACGGTTCAACCTCAATTAAATTGGACTCATAAATAGCTAGTAAAAGGGAATGTAAAGGGCTGGTAAAAGGGTATATATACGACCAATATCAGTACATATTATAGACCTATATCAGGGCAATAGGGTCACCCCCTATTACATGGGACTCATAACATTAATGGTGAAAAGTGGATGTTACATTGTACAGTGACATAATGTGCACCTCTGCCTACCCCTTCGAGGATAAAAGGCGTGATAATATGTTATATTAGTGCATCAATAGGTAGTGTTCATATAAAAAGACGTGACGTTTTACTGTGAGTTACAACACCACGAGTATCATTAATTGAAATATTACTAACTCACGTAAAACAGTTCAAACGAGTTCAATTGATTATGTATGTCTCCCTATAGTTATTACACACGACTATCATTCATCACGATTTTCAGAAAATTGTCGTCAACAATTACCTTGACCACTACTTTTATGAAAATATTACGATCGTATGTAATTTCTCTAATATACTTATTTAACTTGGCAACAAAAATTTTAATAAGTTTATGATAAATTCTAAAATAAAATAAAATACATCCTATTATTTTTCATGGCGCTTCATTATATATACTTATATTATATTATGAAAAATTTGGTAATAGGGTACCAAAGTACCTGCTTAGTATTTTTGTTTATATAACTTTTCTTATGCCCAAGGTAATAGAGAGGAAAAAGGCTGAAATGAAATTGGCCAATGAGAAGAAAGCTAATGAATGGTCAACGACAAGTAAGTGCCGTTGTAAATTGTATTTAAATAGCTTTATCTAGCCCATATCCGTTTCTGCGTGTCTGTAGAAGCAAACAGAAGCAAGACTGATTGAGAAGGTAAAGCATGAAGAAGATAAATACACATTTTGATATAAATATACAAAATTACCTTCACATCTATAGATAAATAAAATTGGGGTGTCTGTTTGTAATAACCGCTTTTTACTACATGCATATGTATACAGTATACACATAATATGATACCTATACAAAGATAACATTCTTTTTTTTTATTGTCTATCTGTATGTTTGTACTGGCTAATGGCTGGACGTATTGACGGGACTATTACAGGCAGGTAGCTGATGTACTAAGGAGTAACATAAGTCAATTTGGAAAATTGAAATAAAAAAAAATATGTCTTAAAACTAATATTCTTTGCGGACAAATTCACGGGAAACCGTTAGTTCATAATAACAATTGGAGTTCGAATTTAATGGCCTCTTTGGTGGAGATGAGTTGGAAAAAGTAGTTCCGAGTAATCAGTTCTGAATTGGAATCGCTTCTTCATTCATAAAATTATTATATTTCCAGATACTAGATACAAGCCATTCATGAGCCTGTTATTGGAACTGAAGAATGATGATACTCTTACCGATAAGGAGATAAAAGAAGAAGTGGATACATTTATAGTAGCAGGTTTTGACACCACGTCCAATTGTCTCACTTGTCTACTAGTCCTGCTTGGAACATACCCTGAAGTGCAAGAAAAGATGTATAATGAGTGAGTATGAATTTACCATTTTTACCATTGAGGATTGGTTTCTTCGATGTATTAAAGAAGTGCAAAATTAAAAGTACCATTAACCGACAAGCATACATGAAAAGGCTAATAACTGTTGATAAAGCGAAAGAGGTATGTAAGAATCGCAGCAATTGGCGTTTCATAGTCTCTGCTTACGAGGACAGGCGCAAGGTTATGTATGAGTTGATTTCTTCTATCAGCAGTTCAGGATGGAACGGATCACCCGATCTTAAGCAATCTACGCTACCCAACAACACCGGCTATACTAGAGGATTTACAAGTGCGTTGCTGGCCTATCGAGTAGTGGAAATTTGGGGGTTTGAGTTATAAGGGGGAAAGGGATGTCATTATATGTATCGGGCAACAGCGGTCTCTGATTAACTTGAATCTTTTTAACTGCAATCTCTAACGCACTTACTAAGTATTGAAAATACGGTTAATAGTCCAGGAGAGAGGACTCAAATTCTTGAAGATAATGATGATACTAATATTTATCACTCTTTCCAGAATAATAGAAGTTCTAGGTCCAGACAGGGATATTGAGAAGGATGATATCAAACGACTGGTGTACACTGAGGCTGTTATTAAAGAGGCTCTTAGGGTGTTCCCTATTGGACCTGCCCTACTAAGATATGTGGATAGGGATATTAAACTTAGTAAGTATTTGATCACATTACATAGTTGAAATATTACCTCTAGAAAGAGAAGAAAAGAACGTCAACGAACTAATAGTCGCTGTCTAACCGGTAGGGTCTTAATTAATGTTTAGGTTCATGATAAAATGAAATGAAATCATTTATTCGTAAACATAGGTTATATAAAGTTGTTTGAATGGTTGACATACAGTGCAATACAGTGAGTCCGTCTGTTTTGCCTTGAAGCTCTGAAATTCTGATATTCTTAATGATAATGATTTTATTAGACCTTACCGGTTAGTTTCATTTACTTATGTGTGGAAGAGCCACGAATGGGTCGGCTCGACCGGAGTGATACTACGGCCTTATAGAAAACCAATGTGAAGCAACGCTTGCGTTGTGTTTCGTCAAACTCCCCAATCCCTGAATCCCCAACGATCCTCAAATTAAGGATTTAAAGACGCCCCAAAAGGCCGGTTATGCATCCATGAGCGACGACGATTACTTACCATTAGGTGACACGTCCATTCGTTTACCGGCTTATGCCATTAAAAAAAAAACGTTAGATATTTTCCCGGGATAATACCGTAGTAAGACTATCAGACTATGATTTGTATTTTAACGATAGATTTGAATAAACTAGAACCCATGGAGGAAACTTTTAATGACACTGATTTTTTTTTTATGGCATAAGCCGGTAAACGAGCAGACGGATCACCTGATGGTAAGCAATCGGCGTCGCCCATGGACACCTGGAACACCAGAGGCGTTACAAGTACGTCACCGGCTTTTTGGGGATTAGGAGTTTGAGGATCGTTGGGGATTCAGGGATTGGGAAGATTGGGGAAGGGGAAGGTAATTGGGCCTCCGGTAGCCTCACTCACACGACGAAACACAACGCAAGCGATGCTTCACGTCGGTATTCTGTGAGGCCGTGGTATCACTCCTGTCGAGCCGGCCCATTCGTGCCGAAGCATGGCTCTCCCACACTTATATTGATGTAGGATTAGATAAAAATATACCCATGCTGTGCTTGTTACAGAAAACTACACAATGAGAGCAGACAGTCAGGCAGTGATCCTCGCTCGAGGGGCCCACAGGAGTCCTATATTTGGTGACGATGTGGAGACATTCAGACCTGAACGATGGCTGGACTCCAGCATAACGGCTGTGGGGAACAATGCTTTCTATGGATTTAGTTTAGGAAAACGATCGTGTATTGGTGAGTCATGTGTCGAAAATTCTGTTCTTTTCCTATGTTTACCTTTAATGACTTCGGGTTGGGCTCCTTGGGATAATAATACATATATCTGCTTTTCCATTACTCACTGGACCATCCAAG